AGGGTTAATAGTAGAATTAGATATGTTGTAAGACGTATCATTCTGTTGAAAGGTATGCATCGAAATATATTACCACTTGTGTGTGCCTAGTAAAAGTATCAAAAAAAATGATTTCAACCATTTCGATTATTTCAGATATCTGAAATGATCCATTTCGACTTCATGTATAATATCAATGGATTCTAGTATTCCGCACGGATCAGATCAGATCAGTTTTAAGCAAAATCCAATTTAATCTGAATCCAAAAAATCTGAATCTGAATCTGTATTCAAATCTGACAAATCCAAATCTGACAAATCTGAATTCTTATCTATATCTGACGATCAAAAAATTTTTTATCAAAAATCTGTCTTCACCGTTCAGAACAGCGTTTTAATGTTAAAAAATAACAATTTTGTTATTTTTTTAACAAAAATCCACCTCCAACGTTTGGAACGGTATTTTAATGTTAGAAAAATAACAATTTTGTTGTTTTTAACAAAAATCCTGCCTCTGACATTCGAAACAGCATTTTAATGTTAAAAAAACAACAATTTTGTTGTTTTTTTAACAAATCCCGCTTCTGATATTTAGAATGGCATTTTAATGTTAAAAAACAATAATTTTGTTATTTTTTTAACAAATATCCGCCCCAACTTCAGAACAGCGTTTTAATGTTAAAAAAATAACAATTTTGTTTTTTTAACAAAAATTCCGCCTCTGATATTCGAAATGGCATTTTAATGTTAAAAAAAACAATAAATTTATTATTTTTTAACAAAAATCCCGCTTCTGACGTTCAGAACGGTATTTTAATGTTAAAAAACAACAATTTTGTTATTTTTTTAACAAAAATCTGCCTTCGACTTCAGAACAGCATTTTAATGTTAAAAAAATTAACAATTTTGTTTTTTAACAAAAATCTGCTTCTAACGTTTGAATCGGCATTTTTATATAAAAAATTAATAAAAATTAATTTTTTTATTAATAAATGCTGTGTCTGACTTTCGGGGCGGTATTTTATTATTAAAATTTAATTTTTTTAATAATAAATGTCACGTTCTACTTTTAGGGCAGCATTTTAATATAAAAAATTAATAAAAATTAATTTTTTTAATAATAAATGTCACGTCTGACTTTCAGAATGACATTTTGTTATAAAAATTAATTTTTCTATTATATTAATAAATGCTGTATCTGACTTTTGGGTCGATATTTTAATATAAAAAATTATTAAAAATGAATTTTTTAATAATAAATGCCACGTTCGACTTTCGGTGTGATATTTTAATATAAAAATTAATAAATGTCACCTTTGACTTTCGGTGTGATATTTTAATATAAAAATTAATAAATGTCACCTTTGACTTTTGGGATGGCATTTTGTTATTAAAAATTAATTTTTATTAATTTTTTAATAATAAATGCTGTGTCCAACTTTGGGCGGCATTTTATTATTAAAAATTAATTTTTTTAATAATAAATGTTGTGTCTGACTTCAGGATGGCATTTTTTTATTTCAAATCTAACAAATCAGATCTGAATCCAAATCTGAATCCGATGGATCAAATCTGAATCCAAATCTAAATCCATCAGATTGAATCAAATTCAAATCCAAATCTAATCTGGATCTGACAGATCGAATCAAATCAAAATCCAAATCTGAATCTAATTCGAATCTGATAAATCTGATTCAATCTGATCTATCAGATCCAGATTAGACTCAGATTGAATCAGATTTTTTGCAGAACACTTATGGATTCCAAGGCTGTAGGAATAATATGTTGTAAGTCTGACCAAGAGTAATTACAGTTCTCTCAAACATATCTTTTTTGCTACACTCTAGTATTATTCAATGTAATTCAATTTATAGTGAAATTTTAGATAAAAAATACATTTATGTTCAGCTTTTAATATGGCTTCTTCTAATGCACTTTTATTAATAAAAAATTTGGTTATAATGAAATAATTCTCTGTGCACAACAGTCTGTCTGATTTATATTAGCTATCTTATTCTTGCATAACCAATTATTGGTATTCAATCTATCTTTTCACAATTTATATTCAATTAATACCTGTTTCATTTTTTTTGGCTCATTATTTTTATTGACTATTGATTGATAATGGTTGTCTAATCTAAAAACTGTATCTCGTATTTTAGGTTGCTTACCTTCAGATTTTAGGTTCATCTGATTTGCCAAGAATGCATCAGATCTGTATATCACATGGTTTGAACTATCTATTATCAAATACTAACAAAGCAATACAGTTTGAAAAAATAGTTTCAAAAATAGATATGGCTTTCATTTTCACTTGTTCAATTAAATTTTCATTTGTTTAGTATCTGTCCTGATTTTTCTTGGTTGAAGATAAGCTTGAGCTTTTTCAGGTATAGATGAATTTTCTTGACATCGCTGTGAATTTAATTTAAGTCAATTATATTTTTCTGTCAAAATTTGTTAACTATAATAGAACAGTTATTTTCTTTCTTGTATAATAATAACTCTATGGACTTTGCTTATGTATCTTATTTTTTATTATTTAAGTAAAATATATACTCATCATATATTATAAGAATTATTTCCTTTTCATTAAATCCTAATATTAGTAGTATCTATTCCATATTTTCACTTTTATACTTTGTTATATACTTTTCGTAGCTATAGATTTCATTCAAAAATCTTTATCAATACTTAATAATATCAGAATGTTTATGACCATCATAATAAGTACCTTTACCATTAAGTTAAGTAATATTAAATTAATTATAAATTTTATTTTTTGTATAATAATAATAATAAATTAACTTTACCTTATTTTTATGATTAAAAAAATATTCAAGTACATTTAGTTAATTTGATTCGATTGTTATACTGATATTTTTTTTTATTATTCCTGTATTAATATGAATTTTTGTTTAATAAAGTCTTTAAATTTTAAAAGTGTAATTTTTTCATTATTATTTAATCTTATTAAATATTCGAATATTGCTTGTTTTTTATTATATTTTATTACTGTTAATGTTTTTTGTTTCTCAATAAGTTTAACTTTAAATTTTCAGCCTTTTTTTTAGATTAAGCTGATTGTTTTATTCTTTATTTTTCATATCTTTCATATCATTCATATTATTCAAATTTCATTAAAATCATCTGAAATTAATTAACATTTATTTATAAGTGTTAAAATATTGGCAGTTCCTTTTACAGCTTTTATAAAAAAATCACTTGTTTATGTTGACTTTTTAATCTTCCCAGTAAGATAAGGTCTGCGTTTCTTTTTTCTAAATATATATTATCTGACTAAATTAATTTAAAAGATTCATCTTTAAAGGTTTTTATTTAACAGACTAATCTCATCATCATTATCTTATCCATTATTAACATCATTTTTCTATTTATCAAATTCATTAATTAGCTTTAATTTTTTTGAAAACTTTCTATTATTGTCTTGTTTTTGCTCTTTAACCTTTATTTTTCACTTCGATAGATAAGTCATTATTATTAATCAAGGCATGAAAATGATTGATGCATTATTTAATAATTGATTTAAGTATGGAAAAATATGAAAAGATGAATAAAAAATGAAATGATTATTAGATATTTAATGTTTATCTTAATTACAGGATTTTAACATTTATTTCTTTATTTGTAATTCATCATAAAATTTCTGGAATGACTAACATCTTTGGGTATTTTATATTTAATTTCTTTAGTTGTTATGAAAACTTTACCAATGTTATCAGCTAAAACTTGATTCTTGTCTTTTTCAGCTATTAAGTCTATAGTTACTTCATCTAATGTAATAAGTTTTTTTTAATATAAATATACAAGCTAAAAAAAAAACGAATTTATATTAAAAAACTAAGGCATTGAATTCAGCATTTTAAATTTGAAATATCTTTATTTTATAAAAAAAATTTGTTAGAATCAAATGCACCCTACACTCACTTTATTAAGCTGCTATTTTTCAATTTTCATATGAAATTTGTAAAAAATAATGACAATTTAGTCTAAAATTTGTCTTTTTACTATATAGATCATATGATTTATTCTTGAACTTTTAAATTAAATAAAATTAAATTTTCTTAATAAATTTTAAAAGTAATCTGAAGGTTTCAATTTAATATTTTATTATTTAATTTCTGACTTATAAAATTTTAAAATCATCATATTTACAGTAAATTCTTTTTTTTATTTTTATTATTTTATTTTATTTATTTTTATCAAAATATAAAATTGTTAAAATTGTTAGAAATTTTTATTAAGAAGGATTATAATTAGCTTTTTAAAAATTTTTTAATAGAATTGATTTGATATCAGATTAAAATTAATTATAATCAAACAATTTTTAGGATTTGAATCTTTTCATATAATATAAAAAATTTCTATTAATTATTACTTAATATACTTAAGAAATCTAAAAATAAATGATTATTTTTTACTATAAAATTATGAAAAAAATAATCAGATTATTAAGAATTAAGTTGAAAAATAAATTAACATATAAATAAAATATAATTAATAATAAATAATATTTGATTAAAAAAATGATTTTTTGCTAAATAATACAATATATATATATATATTTTTTTTCTAATTTTATTAAAATCCATCAATAATTTAATAATTAGCAGAATAAATTAATAAAAAAGGAAGTTATTTTGTACAAGATGGACAAAGATTGTTCTTATTATCTTAATAAAGAAACAAAAAAACGTCCAAAAGTTCCTTACTATATAATAATTCTAAATATTCCATACAAATAAATATATAGCATGTTATTTACAGTACAAATTTAAATACACTTTCTAAAATGTTTGATAAGTATACCCAAAATTTCCTTTAAAGTGTCGGAATTTTGGAATACCTACCAATTTTTTTTTTTTTTTTTTTTTGCTAATGTACATTATTATACTTCTTTCTTAGCCTGATAAAATGTCAATATATGTAATCATTAATTAGCAAATTCAATATAATTCAATAAAAAGTATTTTTTTTATACTAATCTTACATTTAAAAAATCAAAGCTCAGAGAAATGATCGATTTCCATTATACAATCATCACAACAGTCCGACAGTTCAGAATCACTGTCTTCGCCAAAAATTTCCAACCCTTCGAAGAATACGTGATTTAAGGACCACTCCAACTTGATAAGATCTTCTGGTCCTGGCCTGAAGATTTCGCGGTTGGCCGATCCTATAGGGTCATTATCATGGTTTACAGAACTACCTCTAACAGGTTCTCCATAACGGAGGACACCCTTACCCTTATCAACTCTAGGTTTAAGAGTAGCAGCGTTAACGATCAATCTGTTTATATCAACATTCTGTACATGAGAAGGTTCAAAACGATCACGGAGAACTCTCTTTCCCTTCTCTCTCCTGTGTCGTTCGGCTCTTTCATTATCATCATGTGATTTGAACATAAAGTCGTCGTCAAGTAATCTTTCGAGCTTGACAAGCTTATGCCGATTGAATTCCACAAAGTCATCGGAATCACTAGAGTCATATTCATCGGATAATTCTTCCTCAAACCAACGTTTTCTACGTTTTATATCTTTCAATGTACCGATTTCAGCATTTGGTCTATGAATAAAATTATTTTGGTTTTGGTCGCTTGATCGATCTGTTTCCTGACCGCTTGAAAGGATCGTTGTGGAAGTCGCACTAATGGATAATGAATCAATTGCGCTGGTTGAATCAGCCGCAATCGAAGACGTATCTATCTCTTGATTCGAATCAGATCGCGAGAATTTAACAGGAAGACGCTTCACGTCATGCACTGTCTGCGCTGCCTGCGAATTCTGGTAAAGATGTGTAACAGATTCTGACATCGAAACAGCAAGGATCGATTCAGAACCGAACTCATCAGCATCTTCTTGTGTATCGGTTTGATGTTCGCACTCGATCTCTTCAATCAAGGAAATTTTTGGAGTCCTTTTAGGTGGCTTATTGTATCGGATCGACAGTCTATTTTTCTTTGCAACCTTTTTGAAGCCTCTCTTACAAAGGATCTGATTTCCGATCGTCTCTAACTGATAAAAATTCAATACGATAAATAAATCCGCTAATATGAAATATATGTCTATATATTTAGAATTAAGAAAAAAAACTTACTCGCTCTTTACTTTCTAAATCCGGTATTAACTCCTCAGATATCCTATTATACAAGAGACGTTCTTCTTCAGAACGATCAGGGTCGATTTCGACACGGCTAGCGACGAGATCCTTAAGGTCTCGTAATACAGTTGTCAATGTTTCCCAAATGCACTGTTGAGTTTCAGTTGAGGGAGTTTCCCTATATATTCGAGCCCCGACTATAAAAAGGAGGGAGAGCTTAGTACGAATTAATATTAAATCGAATGAAATTTGATTAGGAAATATTTACCACCCAAGTAGTAATAGATTGACCCCTTAGTGTCGAAACCCAGGGCTTCAATCTCAACAGGTCGGACAACATTTTCGGCCCGGAGCGCTTGGATCTTTTCAGATCCTTTGAACTGCCACATCACAAGATATTTCAAGATCAAGACCTGGGATTAAAATTATTAGATGAGAAATTAGGATATTAAGGAAAATGTAAAGCGATTCAATTCAAATTGAATAAATTTACCTTCTCGAAATTCGAGAGTTCATGATACACGTCATCAACCCTTTCAAAAGGATTGTAAGAGAGGCCGAACTCTTCTTTCTCAATTCTTTCGTATAAATGCTGACTCAATTTCCTGATCCAATACCGCTTACTACACGTTTAATTAAGGATTTAGAATTCAAGCGGTTAGAAACATACAAATTCATTGTGAGATACATACTCGATTATCTTCGGATAATTCAAAACATTCCGCAAGAAGTAGCGATGAACACGCTCGACCAGATCAACCGGCTCGCGACACACAATCGCATCTTCTAACTCCTATCATTATAATAATAAATAAGCAAATAAAATTCTCTATAAACGCACCAACAAATTTCAAATAACGAAATATTACCTCCGGAAGGAATGCTAGATTTCCAACCGCTTCGTTGTATTGGACGCAAAAGGCAATAACAAATGCCATCTCCGGCATATCTCTCGGATGTTTGTCAGCAATACCCGATACAAAAACGTCTTCTTCACTAAGAGGAGTTAAATCTGTCATTTTAGAGGTGACTTTTATACAAGGTTCTTGAACAGAAGTTTTCTCCTGAACAATGTCCGGAGAACTTGATTTTAAACAAACTGACATAATATGCTAGCACAAAAAGAAAAGACACTTAAAAACAAGGTAATAAATGTTGAAAAGTAATATTATTTGTTTATATTTAGAAAGGGTTAGAAATTTACACCTTTCTCTTTCTCTATATTACACAAAAGACAGTTGTAGTTGATCACAACGAATGGTAGCAGAAGGTTGTTTATTATAAAGCAATTTCTGAAAAGAGAGACCTTTGGTTTACGAATATCAAAAAAATCTCTCAACTTTCTATTTTTAGATGACATTTTCGCGGATTAAGGCTAAACTTAAAACGGAAAAATGATTTTTGTTTTTGAGTTGTGTCACAATGTTTGTTCTGTATAACAAATATAGAAATTTGCATCGATATTATTAATAGAAATTTCTAACATCTGTGAATTATTTCTGATAAGAAAGTTTCATTTAGTGGGGGGATTTTTTTTTTACTAACTATTATTTTATATATAGCATTAAACAAATCTTTTATTTTACCAAATTCAAATAATTCATAAATATAGAAATATGTATATATATATATATATATTTTTTTAAAAAAAAATCTAATCAATTAATTAATTAATTATAAATTAAATTAAATAAAATAAATATTTGATTAATGACAAATCTGAATTTGATCAAATTTAAATATTTAATTTTTTGATTATTAAATAAATAAAATCTTTTTAAACCTTACTAAATGCTATGATAATCTGAAATTTTCATTTTTAAATAATTGGAAATAATTCATTGATTTGTTTCGATCATTCCTCATCTAATTCGGGTTTGTTATCTTTAAAGATGCTATATCTCCAATTACGCTTTTCCTCCTATTATAATTAACCAAGTGTCAAACAATTTTATTTATATTAACATGAAGTCTTAAATAACTAACGAACCTCAGTTTTATCCTTCAATAAACCCTTCCATGCTCCAGAGAATTCATAGAAACCCATTAAACCACCGATACCTAGACATGCTCCAATACTTAGCGCATGTGAACGTGCTAATTGATAATAAATCGTTAAAGAAAATATTACATGATGCGGACATAAAACCAAAATAAGAAGCCCAAATATACCCCTTATTCCTGTTGTTAAACCAGCAGCACACCCAGCTACAGCTCCATTAATCCAATCATCTGTTTTTCTGACGTTTGCTGAAATTGTTTCAGTCGCTGTAAAAATACCTCCTAGTAAAGCTATAATAAAAACAAAATCGAATTCGACCGAATAATTTCCAAATAAATTATTAATAATTATTACTTATCCTTGATGAATATACAAGAAAAACAATCCAGAATTAAGGTCTCTCTATTTGAAGTCTATAATGCTTCTCCAAGAAAAAAAAAAGAATGTACCAAAGCCCGTAACTGTCGAGCCATATTTTGTGAAAACGGTAGAAGCGCGTGTATAATCATAATAGGAATTTTGCGCAGCTGCAATAAGAAGCCCAACACCAGCAAACCCTAAGGAGGTTTTCAAAGTGTTTAATATCAATTCTTTTTCATGATATACATCGTCGTCCGTGTGTGTAGTAGAGGACATTTTTATTTATGAATCGAATTTTTTTTTAAACATTGATTTATTCAGGATCTGTATTACACAGAGTTTCTTATTCTTAAATGATCTTCGGTTATACATTAATAATACGTCAGTAATATTTTGTCGAATTTTAAAAGGTTTTTTACATCGGCGTTAGGCATTAGGTATAATGTGAGAATTTTGAAATAAATTCATCGAACTTTATAATTTTTCGAACATGTAATGCTAAAAGTTTGATCGAAAAAGATAAATACAATTTCTCGACATAAAAGATTCTGGGATTTAAAAAAGATTTGATACTTAATAAAATCTTGAATGGTTCAAAAAACAATCGTTTCGTTCAACAAATAAATATTTTTGACAAATAAACACTTTAGAATTGTTCCAGGAGATATAATACATTTATTCATGTTTCATAAATTCCGTTAATAATAATATATATTTATACATGTTGATAAAGTTGCTCATCGTATCATTCTTTTTCTATTTCTTTTAATTTAATTATAAATTATCATCATACAAAGTTGGAAACTTAATTAAAAAAAACTATAATACAAATTTTTTTCTTTTTTTTTTTTTGTCATATTCAATTCATATGTTTCTAACCTATATTACAAAATCTAATATATTTAATTATCTTAACCAAATGAATTATTTTGGAGATTTTGTTGAAATTTCATCAATTTTATGATGATAAAAAATAAAGTAGGGAAATTTATATAGTATTAGAATTTCTTAATGCATTTTTTCAAGAGGTGTTTGAACTGGTGGCGGAAGTAGATGAGGAGATAGACTGAGATTGTGTGTCACTTACAGTAGATTCTTCAGTAATTGATGTAATATTATTTCCATTCACCGTACTCCAATGCTTAAGAGGGCGATGTATCGGTGAAAATTTACTATTATTCCCATCATAAGCACTTTGATTCGCTGTTGTCAAATCCATCATTGGATATCCATTAAAGATGGGAGGGGGAAAACTGTAATTTTCCATTTCCTGATTAAAATAATCTTCATCGGTCGAACTTTCCCCATTCGAGTTTTTATCTTTTTTTATAAAACGTGATAACGCTCTGGGCGAAAAAGGATCATAAGAACGAAGTAAATTTGACCACGTATCATTTCCCATAGATAAATCATCAAGCCAGCGGGAAGAAAGTAATTGTTCAGGTAATATAATAGAGGAAATATCATTAGTATCAACAGTGCTGCTGGCACGATTCCAGAAAGATAAAAATCCGGCGTCTGGACCCATATACATTTCGCATCCTAATTGTTCAGAATTACTATTACTATTCATTATATTATTTAATTTCTCTTGTTCTTCACGGTCCTTGCGCATTAATTCAATCATACGTAATAATTTGCCACCCATCGCCCAATAAGGATCCGCTGCTGACAAAAATTCTTCACATATCTCCAAGTTCTTTTTAGCTTCTTCAGCAACTATACTATTTGAACTATAAATATCATTAATAAGAAGCGTCGAAGTTAAATATACGGGATACAAAGTAAAGATACACAAATGAGGAAATCCGTGCGCAAGAATATCTGCGGATATTGAGGAAACAATCTTTGCTGCTAAACTGCAACGTTCCGCTGATTTACGAATAAACGCTTTGCGAGATTCTTCTATCTCCTCATAATTTGGTAAAGGTGCAATGATTTGTCGATTCAGGATAATGATAACCGCATAATAGATCAGATGTATTGAGGCAAAAATAGCCCCGGTGCCATTGGTCATCAACTTTTGCAACCTTTCTTTGGTGTAATTGTAATGAGGCGATAATGAGCTATACCAAAGATCTATATCATTTGACAATATAGCAAATTGAGAGTGCGGTTCCCAGGAATGTAGTGAATTAGAAGGCTTTGATCGATTAACGAACTGACCAACTCGTCCAATTAAAGCCGAAACGCTAACAAGACAAGCAAAAAGTCCATTGTTTGTAAGTGTCATGCGTGATTCGTGTTTAACGTGCACCTCGTTATAATATTCTTCAATCAAAATTTTTGAAAAAGGATGATCATAATTCCAGATGGCTTCGTTACATGGCAATCTCACATCACAATCATCCTCATCAATTAATGTAGGTCGACCAACTGCACATGCAGAAAACCTAGTTAAGGATGAAGTGAAATTGTAAATAAATTAGGACGAACGTAAAATGATTTTCCATCAAGAATATCTTTACCTGTCAAGCAAAAAACAAGACCAAAACGTACGCCTTCGAATCTCTTTTTGTATGAAGGCTGCTTCTGACTTATCTTTTGTGGATTGTGCCTCTGTTGACGGTTCATCCACTTTATGAAGGCCAATTTCTTGTGCCATCCTTATAGCCAATCCAATGTACATCCAGGATCTTGGTCCCCTGCAAGTACTATACAAATGTAAAGTCAATAAAACAAGTGCTGCATTAAAGAAGGTTGAATTAGAAAAATCAATTTCAATTGAAATTTAAATACTAATGCGATGCACATATATGTTTATATACCTTGAATATGTTCAACAGAAGGAAAATCAAAAGATCGACAAATCATTGAGTTTGCGATCGTTGCAAATTTATCGCCTGACGTGCGAGGAGGATCACAAATGATAGACGGGTGATTGGAATACCTAAATGAAAAGGGAAAATATTTATTGTTACTAAAATGGTGCATATCGATCATAATCATATGCAATCAAGTAAATACTTACTTCGCACCTACGGCACACATGGCAAATACTAGAAGGGCTGAAACTTTATTTTGTCTCAGAAGTTTCATAAAAGTAGGTTGATGGAAAATTGGAAACACACTATCGATGTTACGGAAATAACAAGAAGCGAGGTGTTCAACAATTTCTACTCGGGGATAACCATTCTTTCCAATTGACATGATAGCGCTCGGAATTTGTGAATTAATGCTTTGTGTGGTTTCCCCTGAATTTGCAGATCCGGGGAGAATTGAGTGATCAGTTGAAGAACCCTGTGAGGTTTTTCCACAAAAGAGCGTCAGCTCTGATTTATGAAGAAATCCAGGCATTATTGACGTCTTCCCAAAAAAGATCAATTCATCAACTTCCTTTTCCTCATTCCTATCCTGATTGTATTTATCTTCTTGAGAATTTTCATTAATATTTGTCTGTTGTTCCATAAATCTCGGCATTTGCTCACTTGAAGTACGTAATGGATATGGTTTTTGAGACGGAGAAAGTAAATTGTAAGGTACATTTTGTCCATACGGGGATTGACTTTGTTGATTCGGATTATTGAATGCGACAGGAGTTTTATAAAATTTATTATTATTTTGAATATTCGGTGCGATAAATGAAGAACTAGCAAAGTTACTAGAATCAATCGAAGTAGATAACACAGGATTTGCACCAATATGTGAGAAAGGGGTATCAGGAACGTTACTGTCTTTAGGATTTGGCTTTTGTTTTTTTGTAGAACGACCGGTTGAATTATCGACACTGTCATCTACCAATCCTTGTTCTTTGAGAGGTTGCAAAAGTTTTTCCATTTGTTGAAGACGTTTTTCTAAACTTTCAACCAACCCAACTCTTGGACCTCGCTTACGCGTACTAGGAAGATATGTACAATTCGTACCGAGTCGTATACAATTATTACAAGAAGGCTTTTCACCACTACACTTTACTTTTTTCTTACGGCACGCGTCACATGCCTGTGTCAGACGTTTTCTCTTAGGAGGCTGAGATTCGGCATTACTCGCAGGAGAAGAAGCGTTATCGCTGCTATGAATGTGAGAATTCTCTTCAGCGGGGGAGATAAAAGTAGGTGGATCCATCCCAAACAAATTCAAGGTTCGAATTTTCTCTAAAAAACAAAAAGATGATTTGCGCGACTTTATAATTCGAATTCAACGTGGCGTGGTGGATAGTTTAAAGGGAAGTAACAAAAAAAAAATTTGATTAAAATATGATTTTATTTTCCATGTGCAATTCATGTTCAAATATCACCAATAAATCCAAACGAATACAATGAAAACACGTTTATATCTGATGGGAAAATCAAAAACAAACTTTGTAGAATTACCTACTTATTTAAAAAAGAGAAATGGTAAAATTTTAAAAAAGTAATTTTTTATAGGGAGAAAAATATCATTTCTTTTTAAATAAAAAAGAAAAGGACTCTCCCAATAAACTTATGTTTTAATCTTAAATGCCTCTGCTTAAAAAAAAAAAAAAAAAAATGAGGAAAAATCCGTAGTAATAATAAAATTGGGAAGCGTGTCGCTGCAGAAAATAAAATGAAACGGAAACGGAGAAAAAAATACCGACCTCAGTGAGGGGTTTATTTATAACATTTAAGGGAGATCGGTATTAAAGTATGCCGGATTCCCGTGAGTCGTACATGTTTATTACATTATTTACAATACATAACAATAGATTACAATAGATAATATCACCTGACGTGTAGAAATTGGATCTGCTAAATCTGCTGAGAAATTTGGATTTGTAATACAAAGTTCGCTTCGGCTGAAACGTATTCCGGTAAATACGGAATATCCGATTTACTCCCCGTTAAACTTTTTTAGAATTTGTAACGCTATAAGATTTATCCGTGATTTATTAAGAATGGGAAAATTTCTTTAATTAAAATTTTGGGATTAGGGTAACCAAAACAAGAGCAGGACTTAACAAAGTTCTAACCTTTCTCGATTAAAAACAATTCATTATCCCACGGGTGAGAATGATGCCGAATAAACGACAATCAAGATATACGGTGTGACTTTACTGCGCCATATAATTTAAATAAACGTGAATAATGTCAAAACTGATTTCCTAATTCGCTAAATAGCTTATCCGTTATATAATTGACGGTGCTGGAAAAACGGAAACATTATCTTCCGATACAGATAATCTTTATGGTAAATTATTATTGTTCATTACTTTGATAAAGTGAATCCGAAATTAACTTTATTCTTTTTCATCCGCATCCTTATCTAATTTACAAAGAAAAGTTAATCGATATTTTACGCGCAATCAAAACCGTTTGATAATGAACACTTTTTTGTAATTTGATATTACAAAGATTAAACGCCCATTCTAAATTTTATGAGCGGTGCGGTGCGTATTATATAAATCATTTTAGAATTTTCACGTTCAATGAATGCTGTAAATTATATTTCGTTTGCATCAACGCGTGACTTAGTTTAACTGGATTTACGTGAAATGTTGCACAAGTCCAAAGCAAATTTTTGGACTATGGCTTGTTTTGCATGTTACTTAATCCTATTTCGTACTATTATCGTGTTATCTGAAAAAGTGGTTCAAATTCCACAAGTACGAATCGGAATAGATAATCTATTACTCTCGCTGGTTAAAAATTTCGTTATTAATCCAAATGGTCCTGGTAAAATAAAATTTCCGACATTTTTGTAAAAATATATTTAGGAATCCAATTTCTAGTTTGGCTTCTTCCCTGATATTCAGCCTTATTGAAAAGAAGATTAAATACCCCTGGTGAATCTGCACTAACAACCAATAGATGAACTTTTTAAAATTAAAATGGATTCAATACAATGAATAATCTCTCAAACTGCGTCATAACATTCTTGGCGTTTTTGCCACTTATCTTTTTTGGTACTTACCGTCGAAGCGTTAATTACAAATACAACGGGCCGTTCCAAAAGACACAAAATAAAAAAAATAAACGTACAAGTTCTTTATATGTATATGATCATGGTGAATCGGCCTTTTTTATTCTTTAAAATAAAAATAAAAATAAAAATGAAATAAAATAAAATAAATATGACTATAAAATAACCCCCCGTTTTTTAAGTCTGTTATAATATTATATTGTTATTGTAAAATGACAACTAGTTAGTAATTAGGTTTAAATTAATTTGTTATCATAAAATCTTTATAGATAGAAATTTCTGATGAGATTAATTTTCTTCGATTGAACATAAGAAAAAAAATAGATAAGAATAGATAAATCACGTTATTGTGAGCACGGACGTGTAATGATCTGCACACCAACATACCAAAAAGAAAAAGTCATTGAAAATCCGGGGAAATTTCCAGGATATAATCAACGAAGTCAAAAGCATTATATAATGAATTCTATCTCCACTTGAATTTTTACTACAAACTATAAATGATTTTTTTTTTCAAAAAAAGCATTTACATAAAAGATGAGTCAAATGACATTTTATTACAATAAAACATTTATGCAATAAGGATGTATGAAGCATACAAAAAAAAATTATTTTTGTTGATGCTCGTGTATTCAAATAATTTAATGATTTTTATTTAAATTGAAGTTTTATACAAAATCACTTCAAATACGATTAAAACCAAACCATTTAAACATTTACGGTTCTGCTGCGTAATCCTTTAAAAGTGTCCCAACTAAACCCTCGATGTTTCTTTCCAACCAAGTAGTTGGCACAAGCAGATACTAAACTACAAATTAAACCATAGTAAACCTCTTCTTGAAAAAATTAACGCTCATGTAATTAAGCGAAAGAAGATTAACGCTATCAAAGAGATGAAATGCAAACCAATTATTCGAACTCAAACATTTCAAGCTGAAATTAATAAATTTAAACAATATCAATGTATCTTCATTATCTACCGAATAATGAACACCTTCTGATTCAATATCTTCATGTTTTTTTCAAAGCATTAAAATTCACGTGAATCAATTTACCAAGTTTTAAGATGAAATATAAGATATAAAATATATATTACCATGTTAAGATATTATTTCACTATATACGAATCAAAACTTGCAGGAAAAATTAGTCGTGGCGCAGAACCTCGTTGGAAAAATAACGGTACTTGAACAATCCATTCTTTAATGCGTTTACAAAAGATGCATTCAATAATCCACCAACATTTCACTCAGTCTTAATGACATAACTTCAGAGCTTTTATTTATCCATTTTATTGTTGTAAATAATTAAAGAATCGATTCAACCAAAATCAAGTAAATTTTGCTAAACTTAAACAAAAAAAAACATTTTATCTGCATAACGACTTAAATTTCCAAGAGGTACAAATATTAAAAGGATATGTAGTAACCAAATTTTAAATAAAGATAATGTTGAGAAAAAAAAAATTGAATTCTGTGAAGTAATGAACTTTTGCTTCCGGTGTTGAGACCCAAGAAAAAGACGAAAAGTTCTCATCATTTAAAAATAATATAGCGGAATTATTTTATTATTTGGGAAATTAAAAAGAGAATTACTACGGCATTTTCATATATGATTTAAAAAAAAAACGATAAGATGTAATGATTACGATAGTAAATTCATCATTTCATTTATTCAATCTTTTTCCAAGATTCTTGCACAAAGATAAAACTTTGTACGATTCCAAATTAAAAGACATTTGACTTATTTTAAAAGAGTTTCTCATTCAAGTCAATTCATTTTAAAGAACAATCACATTTCAAATATTATAAGAATTACTACACATTTTATATTAAATATAATCTAAATAAATGATAAAAATAAAATAAATAAATAAAAAACAACCAAATTTTCCGAGTTAATTAACCTTGTTATCAATGACTTGGAAAACTTCATATTCCTCAACATCAAATTTTCTTGTATCAATAATTGTCTTTTCATAATAAGACCTTTTGCTCGCACATCTTAAAGATAAATTATTAAAATTGGGCATCCATAAATCATGGCAACCAAAAGAAGGACCACGCACGTCAGCGCAAAATAATGCCATACCATGATGGTCTTTACGTATTCTACTCAATACGGCTTGATTTAAATTCCTACCATCACCAAAACTATATATAAAACTATCTGCCGTTTTAATCCACGTACCAAAAAATCCACCCTTCCATCCAACGGGATTATACCCACCGATAATTTGTTTGGTATCGGCAACTGTCATTACAACGATGGTCGCTCCTACATTATCACATAATTCATGAAACGTTTGTGATGTAAATCCGTCTCTTGTTCCTCTCAACAGCAAACGAAAGGTATGTGAAGATTTACGATATAAAGTTTCTTGTCGATCTATCCATTTAGATAATATTGCAGCGTGTCTCCATTTAATGATGGTGGAATCTATTGGATAAATTGATGACATCCTGGGACTTAAAAACAGACTTTTGCACATCAATTTCTCCCCACTATATAACATACTTGAATTATCGTCAATAAAAGAATTATTCTTAGTTAGCATTCGTTGAAAAGGTTTCAATTCAATTGGTAACTCCTTACAAGAAATTAAATCAATCCTAATTAAAGGAACACAATTTTTTAATATGATTTCTAATTCAAACAAATCTTCTTCAACCCATTTCGAATCATCTCGAGTCAATAACTTTTTCTCATAATTCGAAATTCTTGATTTATTAATTTGTTCAATTCCCCAATTAATGATATGATTCCATAATGACACCTCGTCTAATTGTAAATCATCCCTTTTCAATATCTCAATTATTAATTGTTCATTGATAATCTTACCATAATTCTGGATTTCGAATATCAAAGAAGGATTATCGCAAATAATTTCTAAACAATAATCGATTAATTCCTTACAACTCTCCAAATGAAATGCCGTTGAATGAGTTAATATTTCAACCGGATTTTCTCTTATCCATTTATCTTGAACTTTTATTAAGAAATCTTGTGAAAATTTACATAATTCTGTTAATATTAATTCATCTGATGCCGTTATTAAATCTAATATAAACGTAGGTTCATAATCATTCAAGTCTATCATTCCTCCATAAATATATTCCAAGATGCATTGAAATATTTTGGGATCAATATTCGGTTTTTCAAATAATATAAAACCTTCTTCATTTCGTTTTACCCATTCTTTTGATAATGCAGAATAAAAATATGGAGATCTTGCCCTTAATATACAACTGTGCGCATGAAATTTCATGTAATTACTATCATTTCCAACTCCTATTATAACATTATAATCTTCACACGTTGTTAATAATTTATTGTAATCTATTGACAAAGTCTTGTAAAATTCTCCCACATTCATATCTTTAAAAGATTAAAAGGATTGGAAAAAAAAAAATAAAAAAAAAATATGCACCAAATTGAACGATTTTATAAGCCAAATGCCAGTGTAACCGCTGTGACCACAGGATTATTGACTCGGCATCTAATATTGCGAAACGATGATCTAAAGAATTTTTTCTTTTTCCTCATGGTTGATTCTTTCATAGATGGGAGCAAAAAGATGCAAGTACTAAAATATATTGTAAATATATATTGTTTTATTCGTGATGAAAAGAATCCTCCTTGGGAATGAATTAGAGTATGCATTTTATAGAGAATTATAAATTTGAGTTACATAAGTTATATTGATTGGCCAACGATTTTGCTACAGTTGAAATTGAAACAATATTAGGAACTCTTTAATTTGATTCAAAATTCTCGTTACTGTTGATAATAGCTCTAATATAATTTCAAATATAAAATAAAGATCAATCTTAACAAAATGAATAAGCATTTATTGAATACTAATGTTGAACTAATTAAATTATTACTAGCAATAATTTACGATTTTTGAAGAGAATTTTCCGTTAAATTATTAAAGAAATAAACACGCTTTTGAAAAAAAAATGGCAAATCCTGATTTTGTTAGTAAATGGTTAAAAAAGTTGAGTCTCTGAAGAAATAATCGTTTTAATACAATGTTGTTAATAAAGAATTATACGCATTTTAGTTATATGGGGCTTCATAATGATAAGTTCGAAAGAAATGTATGTAAAAATCATTATTCATATCCCTTTTCCTCAAATTAGAAAATATGAACACATTTGCATATTTTCGGTATCAGTCACATAATATATTTGGATTGTAGTTGCCTTAGCAAAGTCAAAACTCAAGGCTTTCCCATAGTAAGATCAGAAAGGCCCTTTCAAAAAATGGGAAACTCGCCAGAAAAATCAAAAAAAATTAAAAATTACCAAAATATATGTTTTCCAGACTGAAATACAGATTAAAAATGTTATTTCGTATTCTTTAATTTGAACTTGTTATTAAAAGAACAAGTCAAGGTGGAAAAATTAAGTTATTGTAACGTTAATCAAGGACGATCCTATTTGTTCTCGGAATAATACCTAATTTAGTGGTTTTTTTTTTGTTTTTAAAAAAAATTATCCTTAAAAATATTGCTAATAATGTTTCGTGCATTTCCTCGAGTATATGCTAATACCAACATTAGCATTAATTTAAGTAATAATTTATTATCAAGCAGAAATGTTATAAGGAATGTTCTGTTTCGCAGTATTAGTCATGTAGGAAATATCGGTCTTGGAAAAACTTCGAGAAAAATGAACTTTAATGAGAAACGTAAACTGTTGGTTAATGTTCTCAAAAGGAACTTTACAGAGGTATTTCGTTTTCTTTTTAATAATCATTTATTTTAATAAATGACTAATAAAATATATTTGCGCATTTTATGTAATAGTCACCAGATCCAGAAGTTACCATTCCTTCAAAACCTATAACGATATCGATAGAATCTCATAAATTGTTAATAAATTGGCAAGACAATCAGACAAGTAAATTGTAAATTGATTATTTCCGAAAAAAAAAATTATGAAAATTTTTAATGGAAATTTTATTAAAAAAAAAATTTGCATTAATAGTCATAATATTTGGTTAAGAGATCATTGTAAATGCGAAAACTGTTATCATCATAAGACGAAACAACGGCTTGTGGACACATTCAAAGTAAAATGATCCAAGAAATAGATTGATTAACCTTTTAAGAATTAGATAACTGATTAGAAATATACGTTCTAATAAATAATAGATCCCAGAGGATATTAAACCGTTATCAGCTTCACCGGGATTAAATGGAATAGAGATTACCTGTATTTATATTCTATGTAATTTTTAAGTGTTTATTACTAAAACCTAAAAATGAATATATATATATACATATATTTATAGGGAGTGATAATCACGTCAGTTTTTTTAATTGGAGTTGGTTGAGACGGCATTCATATGATCCACAATTTATCGATATTCAAACATTCTTACAAAAGTAATTTTAAATTATTTTATTGATCTTTAAAATATATTATATAATAAATTTTTTTTTAAAAAAAAAATATTTTTTTTAAAAGAAAAGCATTGTGGGATGCAAGGATTGAAGATTGCCCACCGACTGTTCAATACGAAGATGTAAGTAAATAAACATTATTCAAGTAATGCGAAATAGCTTTAATTTGTATCAATATTTATTTAAGGTGATGCAAACGAAAGAAGGTCTATCAAACTGGTTAAAGAAAATTGTAAGTTTATCTATTTGACAAATACGTTTGTTTCATTCGGTCCAATATTAATTTCCTTTGATAGGATAAGTATGGATTTTGTTTTGTCGATGGAGTACCACCTAAAGTTAAGGAAACTGAAGAATTGGCAAAAAGAATTTGTTTTATAAGAGAATCTCATTATGGTAAATTTAACAATCAAAATAATTATCATTATTATTATTATTATTATTCTTATTGTTATTATTTTTTTTTAAAAAAAAAACTAATTAGTTTTATTATAGGTGGCTTTTGGGATTTCACATCAAATTTGGCTCATGGAGATACAGCATATACTACATTGGCGTTAAAAGCTCATACTGATAATACTTACTTTACTGATCCATCCGGGTATGTCAATAAAATATTTAATCTTAATATATATATCATTTCCTAAAAGGTTTTCTTTACAGATTGCAGATGTTTCATTTAATCGAGTTCGAAGGAAAAGGAGGGTCGTCATTATTAATTGACGGTTTCTCAATAGCTCGTAAATTAAAAATGAAATATCCGGAAGCATACAAAGTGTTATCCACAATTCGCATCCCAACACATTCCGCGGGAGATTCAGATGTACTAATTCAACCAACACCATTAGCATATCCTATATTAAATCATAATCCTTTAACAAATGAAATTTATCAAATTCGTTATAATAATGATGATAGGTCGACTTTAAATCGATTAACATCCGAGGAAATCGAATCATTTTACGATTCTATAAGAAAATGGAATAAAATTTTAGTTGATAAAGAAAATGAATATTGGGTGCAATTGGAACCCGGTAGAGTATTGATTTTCGATAATTGGAGAGTATTACATGGTAGAGCTGGATTTACCGGTCATAGAAGATTAATTGGTGCTTATTTAAATTGGGATGATTATAGAAGTAAATTAAAAATTTCCTGTTTATCCAGACAAGAAATTGAAGAAGCTTTATAACGGTTGAATCTAGATAATAATTTAGATAATTATTATTATTATTATTATTTTTTACAAATTTATTTAATATAATAAAGCACATTGGTCAGACCGAACGCGTAACGCGTTCTAAAATAAATTTAAACTCTCCCCAAAGGTGTTGGAGATTTACGCTCGTTGATATTAAAAAATTATTGATCTATAACAATTGTTTCAATTATCAGAATTCGTTTTTTGATCAAAGTTATTTGATCAAAAGTTTAATAAATTAAATAAAACACTTTAAAATCCAATTTCACCATAATTCCCTCCTTCTGGTTCTCTCTTTCCTAATAAATCTCTTTTTCCATCCCATATCCTCAATTTCCGCATTCTTTGCCTCTTCTAATTGATCTCTCTTTTCCTTTGATACGGGAGCAATAATACCTATATAAAGTTGACTACATTCAAACTTTTCTGCCAATTTTTTCCTAGACCATTTATCAGGATTTTGTTCACGTAATTGTTGTATTTCTTTTACTTGTTCTTGAGTTAAATGATATGATTTCTCTTTAATTGGTTTTAATGGTGGTGGTAAATCATCATAAGATATCTTTTGTGGGGATAATGGTACTCGAGATATGAATATACTACCATCTTCTAATTCCCTTCGAGCGTAAATTGGTGCTGAGGAGTTACTGAGTTTCGTGGGTTTTCTTGCCGTGTAACTACGAAGAAAGATATGATTTGTTGGTAGGAAATATAATGTAGTCGTGGGAAACTTTGAAGGTAGAATGGAAAGAAATTGTTTAAATTGTTTGAATTGTTGAGTTATTAGGAATGTCATTCTTATATTAAGATTGGATTTTTAAAAAAAAAAAAATTTGAATTTGAATAAATTTGAATATGATTCAGTTACACGAGATCTTTTTTTTTTTAATCGCGTTATCTTGAAAATTTTCATCCTCAGCTTAACCTAATGAATTCTTTATCAACCATTTCAGCGCGTCACTTTATCACAGTTACAACAAGAACGAAAAGATTTTCACCGATTTTATCGATAAATTCGTTTCACCGTTCTTTCCAAACTTCGCTTACCAATAACGAAGAAGAGGGTAGCAACATCGACAACGATAAGAATGAAAAAAAATTACTTACTAATGATTCCAAAAAACAAATTGATCTTATAGATGAAATTTTTTATGATTTAAATCCTGTAAAAAAAAAGGATACTTCTTCAAATAATAAAGATTTATTATCAGTTTTTAAAGAATCGTTATCATCAAATCCAATTGAAAACAAGCCCATTTCGACACCTTCAAATTTCTCGGAAATTTCACCTAAAACTTCCATTTTAAATTCGTTTAGACCACCTACGATAGAAATATCAACTTCCACTTCTGAAATCACTATCGATAATCCAGAAGTGACAGCAACGTTTTCGTCTGAAGCAAACGCACAAACAAATGATGAATCCCGATTCGTGAGAGAGGATCCTGTAATTTCGCTTTTAACAAATATGATAATGCGTGATGGTAAAAAAGCTACCGCAAGACGATTTGTAGCTGATGCCATGATTGAAATTCGTAAACAGACTCACAATGATCCTTATTTAATTACCAAATCGGCTATTGAGAAAGCTTCTCCAATGGTCAGTCATATGAGTTCTAAGAAAGGTTCAAAAGTAACTTTAATTCCTAGACCATTAAATGAGCGTCAAAGACAACATAAAGGTATTAAATGGATTCTAGATGCTTCTGACAAGAGGTCCGGTAAAGTTTTTAGTATTAGGTTGGCTAATGAAATTTTAGCTGTAATTAATGGGAGTTCAACTGCTTTACAAAAAAAGGAACAATTACATAAGTTAGTGATGGCAAATAGAGCCAATCTTCCGGTAAAGTGGTAATGTAATTAATTATATAATGTAAAATGTAGATGATTTTTTTATCATTGATATCCTCATAATGTTTCCGTTGACATCATTTTTAATTATTAATAATAAAGCCAAAATTGTTTATTATTCAGTTACAATAAAATCTATCTATCCTATGTTTACGCATGATTTAGAAAATATACTTATTGCTCTAATATTAGTGCAATCATAAGAAAACCCTAAACACAAATTTTTAATTTTCCATTTTCTTTTTCTGAATTATTAAACGCGCTTTTTTTTAGGTTTTTGGTCCAAATTAAAAAAAAAATATTACATAATTCGAACGAAAAGTATAGTTTTTATTTAATAAATTATTACTTATCCATTGCAGCTTTTTTGGCCTTGACTTGCTCAGACAAATACTTTAAGATTGAAAAATTAACATTAGTATATAAGGTTTAATATGAATTTATAGTATAAACCATATTATGTTATTAAATTATCCATTCACCTTAACTCTAAGTTTGCATGCCTTTTTTGTTTTGTCTTCGACTGCTGCAGCAATCTTGTCCCATCTATCTCCATCGCCCTTCCAACTTGGTGGGTAGGTCTGTAAAGCTCGTTCCAATTGACTTTGTTGGGATGCCGTCCAACTAGAAGCTGATTGTGTTGATGAAGAAGTGGACGTGGTGGCGTCCGAGGTAGAATTTGTTCCATTCGCCGAGGTTGTCGTTTCGGACTTTTCTTTTGTAACTGTAGTCACCTCTGCCTTTGTAGAAGTTTCTTTCACCTCTGCACTTTCTGATGTTGGTGTTATTGACTGTTGTACACTAGTGGCTTTTTTCGATTTATTTTTACCCGCTTTTTGTGTAGATTTTGATTTATTCCTTGGTTCAACAGGTGTTGTTACCGGCTCATCATAATTAATAGTTGCTTCGCGCATTGAAGGATGCTCCGTAATACGCGCATCGGCATGTTTCTTTTGATGCTGTAATTTACGTACATCTTCTTCTAACGCGTTTGCACCTGCCGACCATAAAAGTTCATAAGGTATTACCTCTCTGAAAAAATAACGAACAATATATTCTTTTCATACCTTTCTGGACCTCTTTTGACTTTTTAATTAATTCCTCATTAGGTCTGGATGGTAAACCTGTGTGATACGCAACGTGTTCACTTATCTTCTCCCACCTTGACAAATTTGCATGTTTTAAGGGTTAACGAAACGTTATGGAAAATTATGAAATAATTCGAATCATACCTATTCACAGTACCTCCAGGAAACTTATTTGCAGCTTTAACCAGAAATGATATTTCTTCTACACTCCATGGTTGTTCTTTAGGTTCTTCTTTTGCAACAGGTTTTTCAACTGGGGTAACTTCTTTAACGACTACTTCACTGATACCTAATTGGAAAATTTTATATTTATTAGTTTGAATTTGAAAATATTTAACAAGTTCCTTCATTATTGTTAAGTAAGTATGTATATATATACCCGGACTGAAATGTTTAATTGAATCTGCTGGCAAAACTCCCGCGCTAACAAGTCTTTTAGCTTCATTAACTAGAACGTTCTTGGCAATATAACGATCTTCGGTTGAATCCAACTGCTTTCTTACGTTTTGTAAGTCTTCCAAAGAAAGATTTTCAAATAATGAATCCAGTTCTGATAATTGAATATCAATGATATCCACTGGCGGTGTTTGATTGTCCGGATAAAAATAATTATAATTCTTATCGTTATATAATAGAATATTTTATGTGTATACGTTATTAATTAAATTTCTATTAAGAAAGCAAATTTAATAAGCATGTCATAAATTTTGAGATTAAACAAACTTTGACGTGTGTTTTTATATTCTTTCTTTCATTGCGAACTGCTTTCTTCTTCGCTGTCTTTTCCTTCTTTTCCTCAGCTTGCTATAAATTAAACGAAAGATATTAATTTGAATTTTATTCTAATAACAGTTAATGAAATAGAAATTTAACAACACCTTCTGTTTCGCTTCAGCCTCGGCAATCTCTTTCTTTTGTTTCTCTTCCTCTGCGGCCTTTAGAAATAAAATATTAATTGGAAGAATTTATGTTGGATAATTGCTCTTCTATATTCCATCCACTAAAATATTCCTCTTCATAGTATGGAATATTGCATTGCTACTAAATTCCCAACTCGTGGCTAACAATGTTTATCTATATCATATGCAACTTGTGTATATGAGGTATAAACAATGTATTTGCACTTGTCAACAATACCTTTCTTGCAGCTTCCCCAGCTTTTTTAGCTGCTTCTTCTTTCTCCTTTTTCTTTGCGTCTCTTGCAGCTTTCTCCTCTTGTCTAAATTTGATAATGCGTGGGTCTAAAGAAAGCGCCTGATCTAGATCCACAAGAAATAAAGGTTGGTTAATCATTGTTCAAATCTTTAAACAAATATGAAATACGATGTAAATAATTAATAATTTACCAATAATCTTTCTTAATCGGATATTATCTTCCTTTTTACGTTTTGCTCTTTCAGCTTTATTTTTTTTTTCAATATACCGTTTATCATCACGGCTTTAAAATTAATCAAGAATGAGAAAGGAGAGATATATATAAAAGAAGGAAACATAATATTGAATAAATGCATAACCTACTTGTCTGTACTGTCTGTATCTTCTTTGTCAAGGTATTCAAAAGAACGCCATGAATCAAAGTTGTACCTAGATAAAATCATATATAAGAACCTTCACAAAAAATGCATAATTAAATTAATATTTGTCTTTTTTTACCAGAAATCATAAAATGTTTCAACTTCTGATTTTGGTGTATTTATATCGCCCAGCATAGGAACCGGAGTTTTATTAGAGAATCTAAAAAACGAATGATAAAATTATAAGCAAATTTATTAACGATATAAATCATGATCGATAATACCATACAATCCAAGCCCACCTCGCTTCACGCTCAAACACAGGACCATATAGCTCAAAAAAGTCACCCCTAGTTTTTATACTTGGTGGAGTATCATCGATGGCTTCATCCACTGAATCAAATTGACGACGTTTAGCAGAATCGGAAAGAATTTCATGGGCTGTATAATAAAGCACATATTAGTAGATTAGTAAGATAAACATTATCAAAATCATATGAACATAGTTTCAATTAAATTATAGCATACATTTACAAACCTTTTTGTATGCATTTGAAGAAAGCGTCATCATTTGTATTCCCACTAGAAGCCTTTTTGTCCGGGTGATGCTTCAAAACTTTCTTCCGATCTAAACAAAGTGATTTGTTTAAATTGATGAGACGTAAAGATTAATACACACAGATATATTCTTTCAGTGTAATTAGACACGTACGTGCATGTTTGATTTGTTCATCGGTAGCTTTCCACCTATATTTAGAGAGTCCTAATACTGCATAGTGGTCTTGTTCCTGGTATTAAAATATATATCACAGCTCGTAAAAATTATGCTTGAATGGATTTAACAAAAGCATCAACATCAAATAAAGAAAAATTATTAATGATAAATTGATCCATTCTGATCAATTATCATTCAAGAAATACCTTCCAATCTTTTGGATCTCTATTTAATAAATCGTGAGTCTCTTCTTCTGAATCATCTGAAAGAATTTCCTCAGCTTGTTCTACCGCAGATTCTGCCTGAATGCGCTCGTCCTCGGAAAAAGAATGGTTATTCAACTTTCGGCGAGCATGCGCAAGAAATTGACTACCAATAGGCTCAATCCTACGCATGAATCCACCTGAGAAACCAATAAGGAAGTAATAACAATTGTAATTGTTGAAAGTTACAAAATTTAGACTCTTTTTTTTTAAAAAAAATGAACTTTTAAATACCTGAAATTCCACAGTGAATTCGGAATTGTTCACCCTCATTCCATGATGGAGGAGGAGAATCAAGAACTAACTGAGTCTGTGACATTACTTTTTTGCAATTTTTTCTAACAGCTTAAAGGAATTGCTACGGTTGATCTGTTTTTTATTAAAAAAATTTTTCGTGAAAAAAAAATGTGATACGTGTAAATATTAAACATCACATTAACACTCAATTATCACTTTGTAATAAGATTAATTAAAAAAAAAAGTAAATTTTTTTTTTTCGAAATTCTACAAACATCTAGTTATCAAAAATGGCCCAAGAAAATAATCACACCTTTACTGACTCTGACATGAGTCAGAATATGGAAGAAGCACCGTCGCCTTCGAATGTTTTGGAAAAATTTTCGAAAAACATTTCTCAAGTTAAATGTCGAATAATAACTGTTGATGAAATTCTTGCCGTCATTAATTCAAAAGATAAAGGTTAATTAATATTTATGTCAAGTCAGTTTACTTTAAATCTGTTAAATTTTAGTATTTAACCTTGATCAATCTTTTTTAGCCATCGATAAATTGCAGGAGAACATAAAAGAGAAAGATGATAAAATAAAAAACCTCACTACACAGAACAATGTTCTGCTTGAAGCGTGTACGACGCTTTCACAGCAAACGCGAGAATCAGGTCGGCAGAATAAGGAAATCCTAATAGGAGTACAACAGGAACTTCACACCATAAAAGCGGAGAATGCGAAACTCACTGACGAAAAATGTAAGCTTACAAGGAAAGTAGAGTCACTTCGAGTCGGTATTAATTTATTCATTTTCTTTCTCAATGATAAAATAGAATCATACTTTCTTACGAACTTCAATTTTACTAATTTTATTACAGTCACAGCATGATACGTTACATGAACAAGCACGGCAGTTAAAAGATAAGAATAATAAACTTGTTGCCGAGGACAAGCAGCTTAGAACGCTTATGGTAAATATATCGTTTTAGAAACTTATTTTTTTTTTTGATCGACTTAATTTTTTTTAATCCTTTTTTTTTAAAAAAAAAAGAATGAAAATGAAAAAACCTGTAGAGAACTTCAACAACAAGCAAAAAATGATAGTAAACTCAACGTGGAGAACGAACTACTTAAAAAAGAATTAAAGATACTTAAGGTTCGTATTTAATATCATTTATTTAATAGCGACATTTATTCTGATTTACAATTTTTCTTATCACAGTTTGAAAATGCAAAACTTAGAAAAGAGGCACAGGATGCTGTTAATGTTGAAATGGAAAAAAATTGTGACTTAGAAAAGGAAGTCGAAGAATTACGAAAGGCTTTTGAGCAAAGGTATGTTTTGTAAATATTATCTGATATAAACTAAATCTAACTAATTTATGAATCATTAGTGAGGAAGAACGTAAAAAGGCTGAGCTTGCCATTGATAAGATAAAAGTAGAGCACGAAAAACAGATCGAAAAGCTGAGTTCCGAATTACAAAATGCAGAGGATCGAGAATTAGAGCTAGAAATGTATTCGGTTCTTATCAAAGAAAGATGTGTTACTTGCGAGACTTTATCTGATGAACTAGGAAAAAAACTCGTTGACTGCGAGGGAATCGTTGATGATCTTGAAAAAGAACTTAATGAATGCGAGACTCATATAGGTGTATTAGAAACGAAACTCACAGAACGAGATGCTCTGGTATCAGACCTCGATAAGAAACTCACCGAGCGGGATTCTTTAGTGGCAGATTCTGAAAATAAACTCGCAGAGCGTGATTCTTTAGTTATGAGTCTCGAAACAAAACTTTCAGATAATATTTCACACTTTAAGAGATTCAAAGAAAAAATGCTGCTTCACGAGAAAGAAAAGGTAAGATTAATGTCAATAATAATCACTTACCCGTACTCGATCCAGTTATGCTGAAACATTGCATAAATTAAATTGCACAGTATCTTTTAAGACATTTTTTATATATTAACTTTACTTAATAGTCATTTATTTAAAGATAAGTGCTTTAATTTAATAATTTAATATATAGATAATATTAATCTTTTTATAATTTTAACAATTAATTTTGTATTTAAATGACCTAGACAAAATCGGAAAAACGGATTTCGCTTTTGGAAAGCGAGATAATTAAATTACAAAAGAAGAACGATAATATTCAACGAACGACTTTTATTGAGAATGAAGGTGTTCCATACTCAACTACGTCTACTCCTGAACCAATGGAAGTAGCCGATTGAGGAAATCTTTGATTTATGTTTAACAAAATAATTATTTAAGTAATTTTCTTCTTAAATTCAAAAAATTATATTATTGAATTTTGATTTTGATCGTAATATATATGAAACACTTTTTAGTCTAATTACTGAATTATATAGTTATGATGTGAATTCTATAAATTTTAAGGTATTTATTATTTAGAAGTTCCCGATCTAGTTAACTTCATCCGGCGGATGTCTGGGTAGAGGTTGGCAAACGAATCAAATTACATTGAGGTGGATTTTTTATTGAACAAATTATGTTTTCAATATTGATTTTCCGGATATGGATTGTTTCTTTGCTAACGGATTTTGATACAGATGGCGGATATATCCGGACCGGCCATTAAGATATATTATTTGTCTGTTAGTGCTCACGAAATATAATATAGTATCTCAGTTTGTTGGTGAAAAAGTCACTATCAATAAATTAATTTCTAAATGATATTGTGATTATGAATTTATTACTATTATTCGAATTTGTTATTATAAAATATATTGGAAATAAAGCTTCTGTTAATTCTAAATAAAATAATTCTATAATTCTACAGTGAATTCTTGCACACTAAAAGTTTTATAAAAATTTTCTATAATTGCAAACTTTGATACTGTATTTATTTTTGAACCTAAGTCGAGTTCCTAAAAACTATATCGTGGCAATTATATATCCTTCACACGTGGTATTTTTATCAAATCATATGAATCATACGATCATTGAACCGCAGTAAATTCTAACAAATTTTATCAGCCAATATTAACAAACTAAAATTTTCTTATATATATAATGTCTCAAGCAGCTAAAATAACTTTAATTACTTCAATCATTATTTCTTCTGGTATTGTCTGGGGTGTACACTATCAGCAAAAAAAAGAAAAAGAGGTATGATAACTTACTTTTAAAAATTAGTTGTATTTATTTAACTAATTAATTTATTTAGTTTATGCATTCGGGAATAATAAGAGATGAAGAGAGAAGGGCTAAAAAAGACAAATTTCAACAAAATCAATTGGACCTTGAACAACAATTAATTTTACAGCGTGAATATGAAAAAATTCAACCTGTTAAAAAGCATTGATAATAGTTGAAAAAATTTTAATTACTTTATAAATATACAAATAATTAATACTGAAAAATCTATTAAATTACATAGTTCTAAGTATTATTATATAAAACATAACTAGTCTTCTTTAAGTTTTTTATAAAACCTTGCACTAATTCTTTTCCATTGATCTTGAAAATAATTCCAAAAATTATATAATATCTTGACTGATCCACGTGGTTGTGACATTTTTGATTCCAATATCTGAACCTAAATTATTAATATTATGACATTAATATTTTTACAATAATTTTTAAAAAGATTATTTATAATAATTTACTAACTTTTAAACAAAATGTATCAACAAATTCTTCGATCTCCTTTAGTTTATCCTCTAATACACCTAACTCATAATTTAATTTTGCACTATTGGTATCAATTTGGGTAATTGCTTTGGACACTATTTTTTGTTTAGCCAAAACCTCCATTCCTCCAGTTTCTGTAAACTAAAGAACATAAATTATGAGCGTAATATATAAGTATAAAAAAATTAATTTCATTAAAGATGTGTCATACTTTAAAATCCTGATTTCTTTCTTCGTAAGATTTAGTTAATTCTTCAATACGTTTGTCATATTCTTTTACAGTAAGCTTTATAAATGCAATAGTAAATTAAAAGACGTGTTAAAAATGAAACCCAATTTAGATAAATACCTCCATGCGTTTCACCAAGCTTTTCAAAGATGCCTCCCTACGTTTGAGACTATCATAAATCATATAAGTTTGAATGTCTATATCCAACGTGCGTCTAAGAATAAAGGATTATTAATTGAGAATTGAGATAAAGACAATAAAAGGTATATAAATAAATTGCATATAATAAATTACCTAGGCAATATTCCGTCAGCTTGTTTTCGCGCCAATTCAATGTTAGTGAACGAATTGTGTCTACTAAGTGCATTCATTGGCAGGTCTTGAGCAGTCATCGTTTCGTTAATAAAGTCAAAAGTGCTCAATGAATTACTTCTCCTTGGTATTGGTCTTGCTTCATTGATTTCATTCCTTTCTGACAATTCAGTTTCAGAACAATGGTCAAACAAAATGGAACTATAAGTCTCGGTACCATTTTGTGAATTTTCGTTATCAGTCCAGTCTAAAAAAAATTTAAGTTTTCTTTATTAAAGTTAAAAATGCATTTTATCAAAATAAAAAAATATAGACCTGATTCTATATGCGGTTCGCTTGACCTTACTGCTAATTTAGCCTGATCGTAAAGTGCGTCAATTTCGCTAAATAGGCGTATTATGATTAATTATTATTTATAACTTAATGTAAATTGTCACAAATATTAATATACTTTGATGAAGAAGTTTGATCCTGCACGACAAAGCCTGGTGGTAATGATAATGATTTAATAGGGCTACATGTGATCTTTTCTCTGTCTTTTGAGATCCGTTTATCCACAAGATTCGAAAATGAACTATTAAGAACCATAAATTAATATATATTATTGTAAGATTGTAAATTGATATAAAATTCATACCCAGTAACACCATCTTTAAATCCAAGAATCATGCCAACGCCATCTCTTATAACTTCTCCTGTTTTTGCCTATTAATCAATTATTTTAGTAAACATATTTATCGGATCAGTTCTTGAAGTTAAATATTACCGTCCTTCCAGAAACTCCTCGTAAAAAACTTTTACCAAGTTCTATACCGAAATCTTTACTACCATGAAACAACCAATATGTTTCTAAGAAGTGTTCTGGTGGAGCTCCTTTGCCTCTCCACAAATATTTTAGCCTTTCAATATTAACATATTTTCCAAACTCCTCTAAATTGCACGTCTCAATATCAATTGTCGTACTTGAGGATCCTTTAAACTTATATTATGCTTAGTGAAAAACAAATAAAACAATGGATTGTCACGTAATAATAAAATTTTATTTTACATACCTGTACTTTTGGACATATCATCAAATTTTGATAGTAAGACCTGTAAAGTATCACATATGTATGGTGAATATTATTATAACAATTAATATAGTTCTTACAAACATAAACATTGTACCTTATGAACTTTTATCGCATCAGAGTTGCGAGAACGATTATGAGCTTCATAAATTTTTTTTATAGTAACAGGATTCAAATTACGCGTACATTCGATATTTTTTGCATTTTTCTAATTCAAAATCGTTAAAATTATTAAATGCTTAAATAATTTGATGAATTTAAATTTATATAATAATTTATACTTGAAATGATGTGACTCCATTAAGAAATAAATCGGTATCAGAAAATGGATCCTTTCCAACCTGTGAAGAAATGTAATTAGTTTAAAAATCATAAATTTAATATTATTAACATTTTATTGACTTAAGAATATAACCTGATATCCGAGATAATTAAGCTTATTCCTTATACTAACAACCTTCCTAAGAATATTAGCAACTAAAGTTGGATCCAATAAATTATCTCTTATCTATACAATATATATAAAGGAAGCTTAAAAACTGGTAAATGGTTAAAAAAAATTTTGATTTAAATATAACGTACTTCTAATTCAGGACAATATATATTTCTAAAGTCTTTTAAAGCCATTTCTGTCGAGTCAAATAACAAGCCATCTGTGTATTCGAGCGGGAAAAGTCCAAATATATATAAGGAAATCTGAACCAATTTTACCAATTCCAGGACGGCATAAGTAAAAGGTATCTGATCCGAAATTGTATATGTTTGAAGAAACTTGTCCTTTTGCGTATCTCTAAAGAAAATAGATTAGAACTTGGATAAGGTATAGAACTTTAAATTAAAATTTATGATATTTTACGTTGGAGGCTTAAGTGATAAGGCGCTTCTACCGCTACATCCTATCTTTCTTAAATTTAGATTTAAAAAGAAATCAAGTTTAATGGCCTCATAATCTCCATCAGGAACTAAAATAATATTCAGTGATGAGGGAAATGTGCTTAAGTTCGTGACAAAAATAGTCCCTCGGTCGGACTTAACAAATAAATCAAAGAGTCAGAATAATTCAAAGGTTTTAACAGAATTGAAAGTGCATATAAAAAAGAAAATTTTACTTCAATTCTATTCACGTTATCTTGTTCTAAAGTATTAAACAGGTTTGTTAACTGTGCCGGATAAGGATCGATCTTATCTTCAATGTTTATAACGCATGCTTTGACCTTTGATGACGAATCAAGAATATGACGGTTAAAAACGTTAAATTTTGATTGATAATTTAATAATTACTTGATGCGTCGGATCTCCGGTAAAAACAATGACTGTATTATAAGGTCTTTGTATTATGTCACAAGCCCTATGTAAATAGAAATAAATCATTTAGTAGATATCTAGGTTTTCATGTCGATATGGGAAAATCAAAAATGTACCATTGCTCGACTATATATAGTTGATAACCTTCTAAAATTTCTTCTTCGTTGACTTGAACGCCATCACCACAGCTGTTTGCTAGATCTAAAATACTTCTCTGTTTGGAAAATATAAATTTTCCGTATCTATTGAAGACCATTCTACAAGGTTCAAACGAAGCAGTGTTTGAAATTTAATGCGCAGAATGCGCGCACAAAAAATTTTAAACCTGTATCAATTTTCACACGCAGATCAGTGTTACTATATTGAGTAAATTATAGTTATCCAAATGGCGCAGTATGCATGGTTGGACTACCCCTGCGTACCCATCAAAAAATGTCACGAAATGGCCGACATTAAGGATCGGCAACATGCATGATCATGCATATGGGCTGACGTGACATTTTTTGATGGGAGTCGCATGGTTGGAAATTGTACTAATACTGGTACTGTGTTATTTTTTTTTAATTTTTATTGGTTATACTAAGTTCTAATATAAGTTTTTATTAATATTTATTTTATTAAAAAGATTATCTTTAAACAAGTTAATTAATTTCCATTTTACATCTTTATTTTGTGCTGGATATTTAATACTTTCAACATCTATATTATCTCTATCAATATTATCAATATTACCATTATCATCATTATCATCTATTTCTAAATATTGATTTATTTGATTTTTAAATTGTTTTTCTATATTAATATCTTTATCAGTATCTTCATTAGAATCACTTTTTTACATTTTCTATATGATCTAATTTATTTCCATTATTATCAAAATCAAATTTCTTATTTTGTTCATCTAAATTATCTAGATTTATATATTTTCCTAATTCGATTCTAGTTGATTTAGTAATATAGATTCTTATTTATATCATTTATAAGTAATATCAGCTCTTAACTTAGCCATATTTAATACTTGCGTAAATTAAATAAGATAATTTATTAATTAAGATTTTAAATTATTTTAGTTATAATTATATAACAAATTTATTAAATTAAAGAATTATTTATTACTTTTAATATATTTTAAATAAAAGAAATCCATACATATTGTCTAGCATTGCATAAAATACCTTAAGTATCTTACAAAATATCCAATTTAAAAATTGAATAATACCTGAGATAATTTGTACAATAATATGTATTTTAGATAATAGAATATTATAAAATAAGGATATTATATTATAAGTAATTTGTAATAGGAATATAGTTGAATCTTACTATGAGATCACAATTCGTTATAAGAAAATTCAGAAATGTTTTATCAAATTTTAACAATTTATTTATTATATAGTAATACTAAATATCAAATTCAAATTCAGTATATAAGAGGTTTGCTAGAAAAATAAGACTCTGAGACTAAAGATGAGAACTGTAATTAAATTGTTGCAACTTTTAATGTTGCAACTTACGTTGCAATTAGTTTTAACCTATATACGTTGCAACTTATAATGTTACAACATATGTTGCAACTAATTTTAGCTTATGTTGCAACATTTTGTAAATTTGAAATCAATTGCTGTACCATCTTTATCTGAGACTAAAAAACATTTTTGTGTAAATTTTTTTTTTGCAAGTAATATATAACTTGAAGATAATAAATAATAATAGGTATAAGAATATTTTTTACAATATTTAATACTAATTATAGAAACCTTTATAGGTTTTAATTAAAGCTCTAAACAGTTTAGATTAATCTGAAATTTTTTGGATCAGTTCAGTTTTTTTCAGATTATAATTCAATCCAAACTGAAAAAAATATTAATCTGAAGTATCAGTTAATAATAAACGTCTCTGAATTTTTGGGACATTTTTTATTAAAAAAATAATCAGTAAAAGTCGCATCTGAATTGTTGGAAGAGACTTTTAAAAATACAATAAAGTCAAATCCAAATTGTCAGAAATGACTTTTATTAGAAAAACATACTAATAAAGTTGCCTCTGACAGTTCAGGTGCAATATTTATTATAAAAAAATAGTCATACTGAACTGTCAGTCCTAGAAAAATAATAATAACAGTCACCTCTGATAGTTCAGATATGACTTTTATTATTATTTATTACAAGAAAGTTGCCTCTGACAGTTCAGATGCGACTTTTATTATTATTTATCAGTCACCAGACATGTCGCATATCGATCATAGCAAATGACATTGATATAGATATTAATCATTTGATCAATAAAATTTTATGATTTTATGCCTTTTTTTTACTTCATAATATGTAAATTGTGTTACATTTTTAACCAAATTGAACAGTTATTACATCAAAATATTCGTTGACTTCTCGCAAAAATTTTTATAAACTTTTAAAAGTGAACAGTTCAGCTAGTTTAAGAAGGCCATGTTGGAAAAATCATCTATTATTTGATATATTTATTATATGAATACTGTATTTCATTGAATTTAAACAACACCTTCTGAATCCTAAAAAAATAGGGTGTTTTACTGACTCGTGATCAGACTTAATGATTGATAGATCGTTTATTTTTTTTTACCATTACGCTATTTTTTCTATCGTTAGTTTATATTTTATTAAAATAAATTTATATTTTAAAATTAAAATACAGTAGTTATATATCTTTAACAATTTTACACTTTTTAAAACTATTGCAAACTGTTTTTATAGAAATATCATCCCAAACTTCTAAAATCCATTTACAAATTAAATCATAACTCGATCTTTGTAAATTTCCACCTTTAGTAAAAGAATATTCCTTATTAGCCATCCAATTTTACCATTTTTTACGCATTTGATCCTTAAAAGGCTTATTAAGATAAACATCTAATGGTTGAACAAGTGATGTAAGACTGCCAGGTATAATAGCTAAATCAATATTCATCTGTTTACATTTTTCTTTTATAAATTTTATTTTATGTCCTTCAAAACTATCCAATACTAATAAAGATCTTTTATCAGATTTAACATGTTTTTCCCATACCTCTTGAAACTAAACTTTCATTAAATCTTCATTTATCTAACCCTTTACTTGTATTTTAACTACTATATTGGATGGAAGATTTGTTGGAAGTTTTTTACCTTTAAAAATAACCATAGGTGTGAGTTTTATTTCATTAGCAAAATTGTTAAAATACAAGTAAATTGATTCTTATCATTTCCAGTAATACGAATATGAATGGTTTTTGTACCTTTCTTTTCAACTGTTAAATTACTAACTATATCAAAAAAAATTGGAGTCTCATCCATGTTTGCAATTTGCGATAAGTAATATTGATATTTTTGTTTATATTTTTCAATAAATTCATAAAATGATTCTAATTTTAAAGAAAGATCTATAGGTAACTTTTGTTCAATTTTTATTTTTTGACGAATAGAAAGATTGTATCAATTCATAAAACAATCAAGCCAACCCCAAGATACAATGAATAATTTTTTATTATTTGGTGAATCTTTATTAACAAGAAATTTCATTTTTTGTTAAATCATAAGTGGGCTAATACCAATTCCATCTTGACGCAAAATTTCAATTCATTTAATTAAGTCTTCTTCAATATTTAAATAAAAAGGTTTTGTATCAGCACTAATACGACAACTATTGGGATTAGCTTCTAATAAAATTGATTTATTTTTACGCCATTTTGATATTTGTGAATAATAAACTTCATATTTTTTTTCAGCATCTCTTAAAAATATTTCTTTTGAATAAACAACAATTGAAAGCTTTTCTTTTGCAGTATATAAAGAGCAAATGGTTTTTGGCATACTTAAAATAAAAAATTTTATAATTCTCATTTTTTATTATTTTTTAATTGTTTCCTTTTACAATTAAATCAAATGAAAGATCATTAAATCACATGATCTTATTGTTAAAAATAAATACACTATTTTTTTTTTGGATTCGAAGAATGTTGTTTAAATTCAATGAAATACAATAATCAAAACTTTTTAAAATTCCTTTTTTTATGTCTAATTTAATACTTTTCAACTATTTTTATTTAATTTTAAACAAAAAATTACATTATTTTAGAATAAAAACACACTTTAAGAACAAATATAAGATTTTTTAAAATATTACAAACAAATAAATTTGCAATTATTCAACTAATTATTTAGTTATAAAACCACTTAAAAATATATTTAGAAATATTATTTGATTATTTCCTACAATAAATATATAAATTTTATTATTCTTTATATTAAAAATTAGAGAAATTTTAACATAATTAAAGAATAACCTAAAATTTACTTGAATATTTACCTTTTTCACTTTAATAAAACTTGTTTCTTTTGCTAAATTATAACTAAAGCTCTGCATGAGCTGGCTCGAGCCGGCTCACTATCGGCTCGAGCTGAGCCGAATTATTTCAGCTCACGAGCCGGCTCGGCTCGAGTCCAAAATGTGGCAAGCCGAGCTGGCTCGTAAGCCAAACAAGCCAGCTCATATGGCTTACATTATTAACAAAAATCTGAAAAAAAATTTCGGAGTAATTGAAAAATTCCGGAAAGCGATTTCCTTCAAGAGAATCGTCTCCGAAATAGTTTCCTTCAAGAGAAACGTCTCCAAATCAATTCTTTTGAAGTGAAAACGCTTCCGAAACGTTTTTCTTTAAGAATTATGCTCCTAGAGCGTCTTTTTTTAAAAAATTCGCTTTCGGAGCGTTATTCTTTAAGAATTTCACTCCAGGAGTTTTTTTCTTTAAGAATTATGCTCCCGGAGCGTCGTTCTTTAAGAAATTCGCTTCCGTAGCGCTTTTCTTTAAGAATTTCGCTTCCGGAGTGTTGTTCTTTAAGAAATTCGCTTCTGGAGCATTGTTCTTTAAGAATTTCGCTCCAGAAGCGTTTTTCTTTTAGAATTACACTTCCGGAGTATTTTTTTTTTAGGAAATTCGCTTCTGGAGCATTTTTCTTTAAGAAATACGCTACCGAAACGTTTTTCTTTAAGAAATACGCTACCAAAGCGTTTTTCTTTAAGAATTACGCTCCCAGAGCGTTTTTCTTTAGAATTACGCTCCAGAGCGTTTTTTTTAGAAAATTCGCTTCCGAAGCATTTTTCTTTAAAAAATACGCTACCAAAGCGTTTTTCTTTAAAAGAAATGCTCCAGAAGCGTTATTTTTTTAAATTTAACGCTCTGGAAGCATTTTTATTTAAAAGAAACACTCCGGAAGCATTATTTTTTTAAATTTAACGCTCCGGAAGCGTTTTTATTTAAAATTAATGCTCCAGAAGCATTATTTTTTTAAATTTAACGTTCAGGAAGCATTTTTATTTAAAAGAAACGCTCCAGAACCGTTATAATTTAAAATTTACACTCCAGAAGTATTTTTATTAAATGTAACACTCTGAAAGTATTATTTTTTAAAATTTAACACTCCGGAAGCATTTTTATTTAAAAGAAATGCTCCGGAAGCGTTATTAATTAAAAATAACGCTTCTGAAGCATTTTTATTTAAAAGAAATGCTCCAGAAGCATTATTAATTAAAATAACGCTTCTGAAGCATTTTTATTTAAAAGAAATGCTCCGGAAGCGTTATAATTTAAAATTAATGCTCCAGAAGCATTTTTATTTAAAAGAAACGCTCCAGAAGCGTTATTATTTAAAATTAACGCTCCAGAAGTGTTTTTATTTAAAAGAAACACTCTGGAAGCGTTATTTATTTAAACTTAATGCTCCGCAAGCGTTTTTATTTAAAGAAACGCTCCGGAAGTGTTATTAATTAAAAATAATGCTCCGGAAGCGTTTTTTCAAAATAATACGCCTTTGAGAACGATTCCCTTCAAGGAAACGCCTCCAGAAACGTTTCTTTTCAATAGAAAAGCCACAGATGCTATTCCTTCAAAAATAACGCTCCAGAAGCGTTTTTATTAAATGTAACGCTCCGGAAGCGTTATTTTTTTAAATTTAACGTTCCGGAAGTGTTTTTATTTAAAAGAAACACTCCAGAAGCGTTATAATTTAAAAATAACGCTCTGGAAGCATTTTTATTAAATGTAACGCTCTGGAAGCGTTATTTTTTTTAAATTTAACGCTCCCAAAGCGTTATTCTTTGAAGAAAACGTTACTGAATCATTTTTTTTCGAAGAAATCGTTGCTGGAATTGTTTTACTTCAAAGAATCGTTTCCGGAATCATTAACTTTGAAGAAATCGTTGCCGAAAGCGTTTTTCTTCGAAGTTAATACTTCTGGATTGTTTTTTTCAAAAATAAAAAATCCAAGATGACGAGCCGAGCCACGCCACGAGCTGAGCCACGGCATGAGTCAGCTTGATCGGCTTGCGAGCCGTTTTATAGCAGCTCAAGTCGAGCTTTTGCGAGCCAACTCGTGAGGCTCGCGAGCCTGCTCAGCTTATGCAGAGCTTTAGAGGTAAATGTCTTCCATTTTTGGCTAAAGTATCAGCCTGATTATTGAGGATATCTCCAGTATATGATTTGACTTTAAAAAGGTTAATACAGAGGTTGAGTACATTATGTATATACTGAATAAGATTCCAAATAGTATAATTGGAAATCTGTTCCATTTTTCTGTTGGAGAGTTTGGAATCAATTACATAAGACTGAAAACTATGGATGAGGGCGAGACTGTCTGTGTATATATTTAAGGTAGCCAATTGAGGGGCGACAAGTATGGCAGTGAGAAAAGCATAAATCTCAGCTCTAGTTGATGATGGCCAATTTGATAGAGAAGCAGAAAAGTTATGGTGGTGAGCATTACTGTCTATACAAATCCAACCAAGACCCATTTTGCAGTTTTCTGAACGAGCATTGTCTAGTGAACTATCAGTATAGAAAACCAAAGGATTGGCATCAGTGATTGCAGATTGAATAGATTTGAGTTGAGTTGAGTTGAGTACAAAGATTGCGGAAGAACCAAATCAATGATATTATCATGGAGCGAACGTGTTGCAGGTAAAGAATGAGTAGAATTATTATAATGTAAAGACACAGCATGGAAAATTTCATCAGGGGAATCTCTAAGGCGATTTTTGATAGTAATCCTCTTTTCTTTTTTAAAATGAATTTTGAAGGTTCTGTTGGCGTCAATTGTAAAAGTACATGTTTTTTTAGGAATATCAGCAGGAAAGAGTGCGTATCCTGGACAAGTATCCAAAAAATGGATACCCTCATTATTGGTGGTACAGGTAAAATATTGACAAGTAAACCGTGCAGTATCTGAATGATTACTGATAACGATGCCATAAATAACTGATTGGAGTAAGGAATCCCAGTAGGCCACTGATTTTCTAGAACAGGGATTATTGTTAATCGAAAATGGTAGGTTGAAATCTATAAGAGAATGATAAATAGGAAGGGAGGTATCTAATCTATATTCTAATTTAAATAATCTAGCACATTTGTCTTTAAGAACTATAGATTCCAAAAAATCGAAAAAAAAGGAGTTTCCTATTGACTTAGTAGCATGATTAAAATCTCTTAAAAAGAGATCAGATTTTGAAATCAAATGACATCCATCGGTTGTGGTTAACTGTTCTAAATAAAAAAGATTATAAAGGGTTAGCGTGTGCCGTACTTTAGAAAAATTGTTAAAGAGGATGATTTTACACAAAGAATGATCACCTCCCAATATACGATTGGTGAGATACGAAGAGGAAGAAAAAGAAATTTTTGAAGAGGTGGAATTGATAAGGCTTAAAGAAGTACCAATGTGATTTTTGTATGACTTTCGGTAAAAATTATAGGGCCAATATTCGAGTGGTGAAACATGTAGGACGCATTGTGATTGTAAGTTAAAGAGACTAATTGTAGAAATCCTTTCATAGATAGTAGAATTGTTAAATTAAAAAAGTAATGCGCTAGAAAGGGATTTGATCTATAAGGACCAAAGGTCATTAAGATTGTAAAATTCTTTAAATTGTAGCATTACATTAGGAATTGTAGAAGTGAATTTGCATTTTCATTTGAAAAGAACACGAATAGGAGTGAAAAATTTGTCACATTCCTTTTTCGATAGAGGAGTGAGTTGTAAGCGATATTCGATTAAAGGACAAAGAACTATATTAATCTTGTATGAGATCTGCTTGTCTGTGAGAGGTTTATAGGTCATCAAATTGACAAACTGATTGATATCTTGCTTAACTTGGTTTTTGACAAAGGTCTGTGATTGTTTGGTATTAATCCAAACTTCCAGAAATCTAATTGAGCCCTTCTCAGGAGTGATATTTATGGTGGAGGGTCCAAACTTTAGGTCAATACTATTAGATTGTGAGTGTGAAGTAGTTAAAAGTTTAGATTTTTCTTTGTTAAGTGCAGATCTGGTAAAGGAGTAAAATTCTTCAGCGATTTTGAGAATATCCTCAAGGTCTTCTTGTGAGCTAGCAATCCAATTTGTATCGTTCATATAAGCAAGAGAGGATATCTTCTCAGATAAATGATGGGAAGACAAGTGAAATATGTCAGTTGAACCATTGTGTTCAATTGTATATCCTTTATTCAGATTTACAACTTCGCAGAGAAGAGGATCCAGGTATATGCATCACAAAAGAGGAGATATAACCTCTTCCTGATCAATACCAATTTTAATGTCGTAATAGTCTGAGAGACCTTATGCTGTGAAAACAGCATTTTTTCTTGAGATGAAAAGATTGATAATTAATTGCATAGCAAGTCAAGTAGAGGTATTTTGATTCTGTCTAAAGCACGTCTAAGATAGGTAAGATCGACTCTATTAAAAGCTTTGGATAGATCTTGAAGAAGAATCCAAATTTCCTTGTTATGTTCATTGGCGTCTTCCAATAGCATATTAAG